CCATTGACCTTGCTTGTTGAAAGCCAGCTGGGGAGGTTACAAATGGTGATCACATGCAACTATCAAAAATACACACCAATCGCGAATGGTCATGTGACCATGATGCTGCTGCAATAGTCATAAGTATGAAAACAGGTCATAAGTCACGTTTTTCAGTGCCACTGTAACTTTAAATGGTTGCTAAGCAAACAATTGTATGTCGAGGACTGGCTGCACAGGTAGTCCTTGCTTAACAACCACAAATGGGGTTCCATCCCTAAGCAATGTGACATTTAAGCAATGCATCATGTGAACATAATGGACTTATGACCTCTTCCACTGTGGTCATTAAACAGATCGCCTATGGTCATGAAGCAAGATGTCATGTGACTGCAGCTTGTAATTTCACTGCCAGCTTCTCCATTAACAGAAGCTGGCTGTGAAGTGCACAAATAGCAAATGTGACCATGAGATGCTGCAACAACTGTAAATGCCTGCCAGTTGTGAAGTGCTTGAAACTCTATCACATGTCTGTCGGGATCAGTGGTGGGTTCCAAATCCTTTTGCAACCGGTACAGTGCAACAGGGCCGGGCATTCACATGAACGTGCGTAACATGCACATGTGTACTTCTCGCCTGCGACGCCTCCGTGACGCTCCAGCTGCTCAGTGGAGCATTGCGCAGGCGCCATACGCTCCGTTCACATGCACAGAAGCCCTGAAAAAATCAAATATCAGTAACGAGTGCAGGTGGGTGGGCGGGCCCTCCAGAACACCGTACTGGAATGGTACCTGGTGCTCCTGGCAGGCAACAGTACGCTCATACAGGGGTGTACCGGTTGTAACCCACCACTGGTCGGGATGCTGTAATGGTCAGAAGTATAAGGAACAGTCATAAAGCGACTTTTTCAGTTCCTTTATCACTTTGAATGGTGGCTAAACAGGGAAGTTGCTAAGCGAGGACTATCTGAATATTTTTCCTCAAGTACTAAATAAGCTTATTGAAGCATGAAACATCCACGTCTATTTTATCTAAGACGATTAATAACTTGTTACTGACATCAAACCATATTAAATATTTTGACTTGTGTACTATTATATTGCGAATACCTCCTAGTTAATGGAATGAGTTCAGCAGTATGTTAGCCATATTAGTTATCCTGAGCTAAAACTGAGCTTTAGTTGCATTTGTAATGCCAAAATTGATCAGTATTAACCTTTCTAGGGTATTAACTAGGCAGAATGCTGCATACGGCACAAGTATGACTAAGGTCTGTAACATCCCACCAAAATGACTGTGGGCGGCTTGCAAACCCAGAGCCTATATACACTGCCATGTAAAGCATTACAGTGTAATTCTGAATGGTTGGCTCTGAACCCAAATAATTGTTATGTTAGCGGTAAATGTTAACTGACTTTATAATGTAATCACAGACCAAGATAGTTGCATTTAACCAACAGACTGGACAACTGCAAGGAATTTCTAAACAACAATTAAAAAAGGAGTAGAATTTGCAAACTTTGGTAGAATGTTTACTAAGGTTTAGAAAATGGAGAGGAAATGTTAAAATATGTAAATGCTGACAGACAGACCATGTTTCTGGTGTAGGAATAAATGTTTGTTGGAACAAGCAAAATTGACTATGAGTAATAGCACATTTGCCCACTTCACTGCACAGAAATGAGAAATGGCTATGTCAAGAAAAACATGGAAAAGTTAAATGCAGGGGACAAAAGATTTCTTAAAAAGCAAGGGTGGTAAAATAAGAAAAGATGTGGTCAATAATTAATGAGTGGTTAATAGATGTGATCTGAACACCAAAGTGAGTAATTGTATGTATTTAAAAATATGCCGATGTGGTTTGATCATGTGTAGAGAATGAACATCAAATAGCCAAGCCAATAGATATAAGTGAACAAACTTAGAAGAAAACTGAAAAGCAACAGTTGAATAAATTTTATGTCATTCTCAAAAAGATAGAAATTAAATCAATAAAGGCAATGTATAAAACTATGCACATATGTGGTGAAAGCAGAGGATATCAAGGATAAAATGCGGAGAAGTAGAATGAACAGTATCAGTGTAAATTAACATTTTCTCATGTTTGATTTATGTCTTGGTTTACATTTTCCTTCCTGCTTTTCTGAACTTTGCATAACTGTTAAGCTGAAAGAGAACAACCGTTGACTTACCTGAGCGGTCCTTCTATGTGNTATTAAATATTACATGAGTCAGAATCAGACCTTTTAAATAGCTATAGTCCCTAGCAGCCGGTCAGAAGGGCATTGGGAATTATAGTTATGTCACAGATGCTTGTTTTGTCAGCTCCAACATGAACAAAAACCGGTTAGCAATTAGCAAATCTGGGCCCTGAGAAAGAACATGTCCTCCAGTGTATTGTTTCCACTGCCATAGCAGATCTAAAAAACATGCAGAGAATTACAGAACATGAACAGAGCTGCTGGCAAAGGATAGCTGTGGAGACTTTGGCCTTTCCTCCACATTGCTGATCTCCTAGAAAGCCTACATGATACTAACTAGAAACCTACCAGATAACATAACATCCAGACTAAAGCCTACCAATCTTTCTGATTCTTTTAGCTAACTTCCGACCTATCCCTTCAAATTATTTATTCATTGAAGAAAATGTACATGTATGGCTGCCCAACCGAGACTCAATTGAAATGAGCAATTGAGAAAAAAAAGCAGCAGACCTGTTTCTTGTCCATACTACCATCTAGTCTGGTGATAGGGAAACTATGACATGTGTCACACGTGACACACCCTGTCATTTTTGGTGACACGCCTAGGGGCCTCATGAGAATATTTTGTACTCTTGCACCACCTCTGGAACTCCTGGGAGTTGTTGAGAGGGCGCTGCTCATGTGCAACCTCTGGACCTTCCTGAAAATCATGTGAGAATGTTCTTGCATGATTTTTGGAGGTTCCAATGGCCCTGTAAGACTAAGACCCTCTCACATGACTTCTAGTGGGTCCATAAGCTGCATAAGAGCACACCACAATCTCATGTGGCCTCTGCAGCCTCCAAAAAGCATGGGAAGTTCTCACATGGTTCCAGAAGCTCCAGATGCCACAGAAGAATGTGGTATGCTCTCACACGGGCTCTGGGCCCTCTGTAATCATGCAAAACGGCTCTGCTCTCACACAGCCTCTGGAGCCTTAAAGAAGGGTACATGAAAGTGACATGCTTTTCTGTTCTTTTCAGAGCAGGCCACGCAAGATCATTCTCCAAAGTTTCCAGGTCTCATGCAACCTCAGATAGAGAGACAATGACAATTATATGAGTTTTATTTATTTTATTACATTTATATGCGGCCCATCCCAAACAACACTTTGTTAAGAATTGTTTTTTTCTTTGTCCAAGTGGCAGCAGAGTCAAGTTAGGCTTTTTCTGAATTTTTGACACGCTGAGCCCAAAAGGTTCAACATTACTGTCCTAGTCAAAAAAAGAAATTAAAGGAGAATTTTTATTAAAAAGAGATCGTTTATGCGATATGATGAAGCAAATTAAAAATTGAAATGTACTCAAATTTCATGTACCTATATCTCAATATATAGACGCATTCTTAAGAATGTGCTCCTAAAAAACAGGGGAATATCATCTTATGATAAAGTTTCCTTTCAAAATGATCTTTTACACCAATATGGCCAAATCTAATCAGCCCAAAGAGTTTGGGGCACAACACAAAACATTTGCATGATTCTGGGCCACAGTAACTAAATTAGGGAGAGAGGCCAATAATTTTGGGCCAAAGCTGGATGATATGTTATAAGATCACAAGTACCAGCAGTGAAAGCTTGGAGATCCAATTGTTCAGCTAAGAAAGCATTTCGGTCCAGGAGGAAGACAATAAAGCGGCGGCTAGCTTCAGGCCCCTTCTTCCTCACATTATCGATCAAAATTCTTGCTTGATCCTGTGTCTTATCTGTCACATTCACTTCTTCCACCTCTTCATCACTCATGATTCCCACACAGAGCAGCTCATCCAAGAGTTGCTTGATGATGGTTTTGTTAACACGCTTTATAAATTCGGTGCGCACTTCTCCCAACTTCTTGTCTGTAAGGAAAACAAATGCATTTTTCCAAATTTATCACTCTGACCCGAAGAATTACAACTTTAGTGAGATACAGATAGTCCTTGATTTATATTCTTTTCATGTGAATTCAAAGTTACTATGGCCTTGGAACAATTGGCTTATGACCTGCATTCTGTAGAAAGTTAGCACCCACCCCTCTCCTAGAAGAATGACATATATTGAGAAATATTAAAAAGGCAGAATATTATATTTCCCTGGGTGAGAAAAGGAGAAACATGCTCTTGGAAAGCAGCCCCACCTTCCTTAATAACCCACAGCAGATGTCAGCACTTAAGAGATAAAGAGATAACTAGCTCTATTCATAAGCAAATTCTCTGCAGCAAGGTTTGAACAAAGGTAGGATTAGTCCTCACCTACAATAGGAATTGCCCTACAAGCCCCTTCATTACACCAGCCAAACTTCAACCAAACCTGGGAGCTGAGACAACGTACAGAGCCAGCTCTGACACCTACAACAGCCAATAGAATACATGTTCTTGCACAGGAACAGGAAGCTCAAGTTCAAACCCAAGAGAAGGTTTAAAAACCCCTCAATCTGCTTCATCATTAAACCATCTTTCCAATCAGCAACCATGTTTCCAATGTTTTTTTCCTGGCTTGGAAGTGAACCAGATGGATATTTCTTCCAACAGTTCACATTTAGAATTGTTGAATAACTTCTGCACCGATGTGATTGCAGTTCGGGCAATTGGCAACATGCTTGTATTTACAATTGGTTGAAGCATCCTGCAGTCAAACGGTACTTTTTTTTTGCTAACTTCTGGCAAAAAAAATGGCCATTGGGGAAGCTGGATTACTTAGCTGGCTTTTCTGCCCCGAAAACCCTTAACTGGGTAAGTCTGACCAATGGCTGGATTTTATGTATTATTAAATTAACATAGGATTCTTGCGAAAGTGAATAAAGTGATGTTGGACTCTTTATCTAATTACAACCCCTTACAGATACACAGACACACATGCTCAGATATTGTTTCTACAACACATTAAACAAATCAAAGCACCAGTAGCTGCTTTGTGCAACAGGCTAAGCTTGTCTAATGTCAATGTGAGTTTGCTTTTTAAACTTAGGATGTAAACGCTGTACATTTTGATTAGTTTATATTTTATTTTATATTATATAAGCAGACATATTTCTGGGTTCGCAGAGGTTCGGGAGAACCTCTAGCTAAAATTCTGTGCAGTTCAGAGAACCCCCAAATCCCACTCCTGGCTGGCCCCGCCCACCCCACCCCAGAGTCCCCACATGGCCCGTTTTGGATGCAGGTTAGTGCAGGGCACACACGGAGGCTCGGGGAGGGCAAAAAAATGGGCCTACCCAAAGTTTGGGAAAACCTCTGGAGCCAGGCGAGGGCTTGTCCCTCCCATCTTGTCCTAAAATTCCTGGAAAGCTACACAAATAGCCACATAAGGTTATAAGGTTTATTGTATTTATATGCCGCCTTATTCCTGGAGGGACTCAGGGCGGCTAACAAACCCAAGGGGGTGGTGGTAAACAAGAAGAGAATACAACAAACAAGGTACAAAGAGAATTTAAAAAGACAGTCAACAGTCACACAATTCGAGGGGGGAAGGGAACTCATCAACCCCAGGCCTGCCGGCACAGACAGGTTTTAACGGCTTTGCGGAAAGCCTGGAGAGAGGTGAGGGTCCGAATCTCTGCGGGGAGTTCGTTCCAAAGGGCCGGAGCAGCCACAGAGAAGGCCCTCCTCCGGGTAGTAGCCAGATGACATTGGCCAGTAGATGGAACCCGGAGGAGGCCTAATCTGTGGGATCTAATGGGCCTTTGGGAGGTAATTGGCAGCAAGCAGTCTCTCAAGTACCCAGGTCCAATACCATGAAGGGCTTTATAAGTGACGACTAGCACCTTGAAGCGTATCCGGAGACCAATCGGTAGCCAGTGCAGCTCGCGGAGGATAGGTCAAGGAACTCATACCAAGCCAGTAGTTGATTCAAGGATAATTCTCTTTGTTGCCGATAAATTAGCTAGAAAGTTTTGAATGAATAATTATCAGGTGGGGTAGAAGGATGAGGGCTGTAATATTTTAGTAATGAACCCAACTTCTGGGAGGGCCATCCTCTACCAGGAGCTGTGAATAAAGATAATCCTTGACTTACAACAGTTTAGTGACCATTCAAAGTTACAATGGCACCAAAGAAAGAGACAAATTACCATTTTTCACACTTGTGACCATTGCAGCTTCTCTTATGAGCAATTTTCACACTTGTGACCATTGCAGCTTCTCCATGATCATGCAATTTACATTTAGATGCTAGCCAGCTGGTCCATATTTATGATGGTTGCAGTGTCCCGGGGTCATGTGACTATCTTTTTTGCGACCCTCTGACAAGCAAAGTCAATGGGAAATCTAGATTCACTTAACAACCGTGTTGCTAATTTAACAACTGCAGAGATTCACTTAACGAATGTGGCAAGAAAAGTGGTAAAATGGGGCAAAACTCATTTAACAGCTGTCTTGCTTAGCCACAGCAACTATGGGCTCAGTGGTGATCATAGATCAAGGACTACCTGTGCTTTGTTGCTTGTTGCCTACTGCTTGCTAACGATCCGTGTCCCTTTGTTTTCTGAAAGGGTATAAAAACTATGCTAATTTGCATATATATCTCTATTTGTGCTGTAGTCCAGAGACCAAAGTTCTTTGCACTCCATTTAAATCAGTGTTTCTCAACCTTGGCAAATTGAAGATGTCCGGACTTCAACTCCCAGAATTCCCCAGCCAGCGAATTCTGGGAGTTGAAGTCCAGACATCTTCAAGTTGCCGAAGGTTGAGAAACACTGATTTAAATAGTGAAAGTGAATCCAACTGAAGGCCACGTAGAGGGGAGACCGTGTTAATCTATATCTGACAAAGCAATTGTGTTTGCTACTCATTCACAGCTTATTTATTTATGTATTTACTTTATTTGAATGACCAGCCAACTTAAGCAACACCTGAAGTCCAACTAACCTTTTTCGTCACAATTTACGCCCTTTCAGACATCAGGCCTCATTTTAATGAACATGTGTGCTATTATGGGATGTAGATGTGTAACATGTTTGACTAGGTATAACTGATTTCCTATGCAAAGGAATTGTCCTGTCCAATCCACTTTCCTCCTACCCTTTTCTTTGTTATGTTAACTATAAAAGGGGATGTAAATTGAGGATAAGGGTTCCTTCAACAATACACTATTGATTGATTGATTGATTGATTGATTGATTTGCATGACCAACCAACTTAAGCAACTCTGGAAGCCTTACAACGGCAATAAAACCAGTAACTATGAAACAATCTCAAAACAATAAAATGAAAAATTCCTGCTCCTTAATCACCCCCTTGAGATGCCTGCCAACCAGCTCCAGTTGCTCTCCTTCGGTATCTATATACGATCCTGCCAGCGTCTTGATTTAAAATCCTGATCTTGGCAGCCAAAGCAACCCGGTTTAGGAATAAAGTTCCCTTTTTGCACGTTGCAAGAAGCAGAGTGGGTGGAAAAAGGAAGGGGCCCTCCTCGCATGGTACAGGTAAAAAATGCAAGGCAAGAGAGCGATAAGGAATCAGTCAAAGCGCCACTCCTGCTCTTTTAGGATTTCAGGTTTCAAGAAGAAAAGAAAAAGGTGAGAGAGGGGTAGAGAAGTATTTATGATCTTACCTGCCATGATCCCTCAGCTGATGCCGCCGGGAAGGAAAAAGCTCAAAACACAGCAGCAGTTCCAGCTTTGGGCAATTGTGAAAGTGAAAGAAATCGCACCCATTGTTTCCTTTCCCGCCCAAGAATTGAACAGGAAGAAAGAGCTGGCCCCGACCGCCGTGAGAGTATCCTAGAAACAGAGGCAGATGGCGCAATCGTCTCTTTCATATGCAGCCACGTTGACAGGCAAGGTATCTTTTGCCCTTCAGAATTATGGATCGCTTTGAATGTTTATGTGCCATCAAAACGGTTTCCTACTCTTAATGATCACATCGATAAGATTTTTTCCAAGTTGAACATTCATTAAAAATGGCTCAGGCTCCTGTTTTCTGTGTTTGAAATGTTCAGCTCAGTGGATTCCTTATTTGGTAGCATTTGTCCTGCCACGCTGCAGGAAAGGAAACAGAAAGCTTTTTTACAGGCACTGCTGTAAAATCTTCCTTTCCCCCCCAGTTCTTTTCCAATTTCTGTCAGTTGACATCATAAGAACGCCTTGCTCTCAGCCAGAAATGGATGTTTGTGGTCTCCTTCCCTTGTTTCCCACCTCCTTTTATGCTAATCTTAAGTGTAACCAAAGAAGTAGATATAAAAATCTTCAAACAAAAGAACAGAACTGAGGAAGCTTCTTGGATGAGAGGCGAAAGGTTTTTAAGGAAAAACAAAGTCTAGTTGCCTTTTGAAAAGGCACTTTTGGGACAACCATGACCTGAATGACTGAGGATCTCCACACACACTCAAACAAAAGAATTCTCTCTCAAAGTGGTGAACAAATTTTCTTTTTTAAACAATGAATTGTAGGAAGTTATCACCCAGCCCTCTCCCAGAAAAATGAAGTACCCTAGGAAATATTGAAAAGGTAGAATATTTCTCTGGATGTGAAAAGAAAGAAACATGTTTTA